GGAGGGAGGGGCGCCGCTGTGCGCTGGGACCTGCCCGGGCCGGGGTCGCTGTGCACCCACCCGTCGGCCCAGGAGGGGTCGAAGGCGGCGAGCGAGGCTCCCCGACGCCGCCTGTGACGGGCGAGAAGGCGGCCAGCTGGAGCCCGTCCTGAGAGAGCGTCTGGGGCACAGCCTGGCCGCCGGCGCCTGCGGGGACTGCGGTCAGGTGCCCGGTGGACTTAGGGCTGGTCACTGAAAGCTGTGTGTCTCGAGCGGGTTCCCACCCCCCGTGCCCCGCCCCCAGACTGGGGGGCGTTCAGGGTTCTTTGAAGGTCCTCGGGGAAACTGCGGGGCTCCTCCCCCAGCTCCTGCCCAGCAGTGGACACTCCTGGGCTCTGCCTTGGTGTGTCCCTGAGTGATTGTGTAGCCTCTCCGAGCCAGTTTCCTCCCACAAATTAGGAGCTCGAGAACTCTGGGGGAGGTGAGGCCCAGAGACCACTGCAGGGTGCCCCCCATGCTGCGCACCCCCATGCTGCGCCGCCCCCCCCTCCCCGCCCACCGGCCTGCTGGCCGCTGACCTTCCCCTTCCCCAGCTCACCGCTGTGCGCTGGGACCTGCCAGGGGCCGGGGGTCACTGCACCCACCTGTCGGCCCAGTTCTGGAGCCCGGGAGTTTGCCTTCAGCACTACTTCACCCCCAGTGTCTGCCAGCCCCCGGGGTGGTGCTGGCACTGGGGAGGCTGTGGGAGCCCGAGAGGCCAGGCCTCTCCCACGGAGGCGGCTTCGAGACAGCTCTGGTGTGGTTTATGGAGCCGCTGATACCGCCACTGGCCAGACACCTTTGGTTTAAGCTGAGGGGGCGTTCTTCCGGGCCCCACATGCTGCTGTGCGAAACCAGCAATTATGGTCCCACCGAGAGCCCCACAGAGGCGCCGGTCAGCCAGGGCCCTGAGAGGGAGCTCCCAGGCTGGGCCCGGGGGCGGTGGCCGTGCGGAAGTGGGCGCTGTGCTGTTGGTCATTTGAAGGACTTGCTGAAGCCAGCCAGGGATCGCGAGCCGTGCTGTCCCCGGGGGGGGGGTGGACCCTGCCTTGTCTAGGCACTTCTGTTTGGGGAACCCCGAGTTCCCTGGGGGTCCTACCCTCCTGGCCTGAGAGGGCCCTCTGCTCTTGAAAGAACCACAAGACCCAAGAGCTGCAAAGGCAAAGGCCTTCGTGTAGCAGCTCAGAAGCCAGAGACCACCCTGCCTTGGGTCAGGGGCCAACAGTGACCCCAGGTCCTGATCACGGTGCCCTCCGAAGCCCCAGTGCTCTGCCCACCTCCCAGCATCTCCTGCTCCTGCCTCTGGACGCCTGCAGGCAGTCTCGAAGCCCAGAGAGCCCGCATAGGGGAGACTGGGTTTCCCGCTCACTGGCCTGCGCTGATGCAAACAGCAGAAGCGGTGGGCTGGGGTCTAAGGGGCCTTAGGGACCTTCGTCCGACCGTGGCCCAACCTCAGGCTCGGAGCAGCACAGTGTCCAGAGATCCCCTGTGGGAGGGTCCTCGGTGCCTGCCTGGGCCCTGGTGGTAAGGGCAGCAGCCATTCCCTTGGGGCCAAAGCCCAGGGGCCCCGGCAGGTGGGGCGGGAGGCGCAGGAAACACAGCTCTGCCTTCCCAGGCCAGCTGGGGGGCCAGCGGGGTCCTTCTTTGTCCGCACAGGGGCTTCCAGGAGTGTGTTGCCCTGGGAACCCCCGGCCCCATTCTTGTACTGGAACAGTCGTGAGCCTCGTGAGAGCAAACCAAGCCTGAGTCACTTCGAGCTGACCAGCTGGCCTGGCCCCGCCTCTGTGACTACAGACAGCGAACAGATAAGGCTGAGCACCGCTGGCCCTTTGCACAGAGTGACCTGCCTGTGGGTCCAAAGAACACCACAGAAGGTGTAGACAGTTTGTAGACTCAGGATGACGCTCCGGAGTCAGGGGAGGGCCACCCCCAAGCCTGAGGAGCGCCCCAGCCCCACAGCCTGAAATGGGGCTTTCCTGCTCTCCTGCCCGGGCACAGCCTGCCTCTGTGGCCTGAAGGACATGGTCTTCCCTCGGCCGCTGTCCAGAGTGTCACTTGGGCAAGTCGCTTCCCTGGGCTCAGTGTCCTCATGGGAATGGGGGACAGCACCAGCTCCCCGAGGTCGCAAGGAGCAGAGACGGTGGGCCATGCACAGCGACCCTAGAGCACATGGGTGCTGATGTCACCTCAAGGGCCCTGGCGGGACCCTGGCATTGCTCCCCAGAGCCCTGCACCTCAGCGATTTCTACTGCCGAGTGGGTGGCAGGCTGGCAGCGCCATGGCAGGGGCACATCTGGAGGCCCAGGGCCTGATACCAGCCAGTGCTCCCACCACACTGGGAGCGACATGCTTCCCCTGTGACCAGTGAGGGGACCGGCCCCAGGCCACCCAGTCAGCGCCAGCACTGGCTCCCAGCAGGTATCACACTGAACCCCACCAGGCCAGGGCCTGAGGGCCCTGGGGCAGGCAGAGGGTTTGGGGAGTCACCTTTGCTCTTATCAGCCATCAGGCCAGGCAGTGGAGACCAGGGCAGGCTGAACCAGTCCCCAGCCATCCTCCGTCTCCATCAGCACTGTCTGTTCGGGGCGCTTCTCCCCGCACCCTCTTCCTGAGGCCTCCTGGGTGGCCCTCGCTTGCCACCACGTAGGACACGCCCCTCCCGGAGGACATGCCTGTCTCAGAGGTGTAGCGGCTCAGACCTGAGTCACAGGCAGGTGGGGCCCCGCCTGGCACTGCAGGACGGAGGTGAGAGGGGGTGGGGGGGGGTGGACAGCGTCCCCCCCCAGGCTGTACCCACCAACCCGCCCCAGTAAGCCAGCAGCACAGCAAGGCTGTCCAACCTCCCCTGGGGCTCGTGCGCGGCGAGTCTGAAAGACCCCCCTACCTGCTTCGATGTGCCCCCCACCCAGCCCCTTCCGCACCCCTGCATTAGGGAGGGACACTGGTCCCTCTCAGCCAGCACAGCATGGGCCCAGCAAGCCCAGGGAGAGGCCTCTGGCCAGGTGCCCTCCCAGAGGCCAGCAAGCGAAAGGCAGAAATGGGGCTGACCGGGGAGTCATCCTGGGAACATGGGCCTGTGGGTGTGAGAGGTTCAGAGGCAGAGGGAGAACCCCCAAAGCGGTGCTCTTCGCAGGGCACTTGCTCCCCAGTGACCAGAACGGAGGAGGGGCGGGAGGTGAGGGAGTGGGAGGAAGCCATGGAGGAGGAAGGAAGAAAAGCGGGAAGGGGGGGGGGGAGGAAACTCCTTCCAGAAAGCAGGACAGCGGCAGGCAGGCCGGCTCAGAGTGGGGCTGACCCTCTCCAGAGACAGAGAAGCTGGCAGTTGGCCACAGGGGTCCGTCTGGCGCCAGGATGCCCACACGGAGCACCCCGCTGGTGCCTCAGAGCACCGGGCTTTGTGGGTAAAGAGCTACTTATCATGGGGCGCAGGCTCTGGTCTGCAGGGGTCCCAGCTCAAGGCTGGGCCTCAACTCAGTCAGCCTCTCCCCAGAACTGCTCGCTCTGGATGCCCAAGAGGGCTGTGGCGGTGCCTGGGGCCCTCCCCGAACACCGGCACCTGCCCCCTCCAGAAACCATCTCCACGGACCCCTGTCTCCTCAGAGCTACACCCCCACAGTGTTTGAGCGGCTCGGTGTGAATCTGCAGATGAAGGGCAAGCCCGTGCACCTCCAAATCTGGGACACAGCAGGTGGGTGTGCGGGGCGGGGTGGGGGGGCAGGAGGCGGAGGGGCTGCCCAAGAGCTGAGCACCCCGAAACTCAGCAGACACGTGCTGCTGGAGATGTAAAACCCCCCTCTATAGGTTCCTGGCTGGAACCCCCAGGCCCCAGGGCCTCACACTGACACAGGGCGGGCGGCCCACAGCTGCTGCAGCCATTTCATGAGCCAGGTCCTGGGGCCCCGGGACCGGACCGCTGGTCGCCCCGGGCTGTGTCTGCTGCCGTCCACAGCCCACAGCAGCACCCCTCCGGGCCCCAGAGACTAGGGGCAGCTGCTCCGGCCTCCTGAGCCTTCCGCCCTGGCTTCAACTTCTCGAAGCTCTGTCCCGCCTCCCAGGACATGAGGGTTATGCAATCACATCTGCACCAGAGACCACAGCCAGCCTCGGGGAGCCCCAGCCGCCCTGACTCTGGCGGGCCCTTTCTCCCTGCCCTCTAGCCCTGGGCAAACGGCCCTGCACAATGGCCTGGTTCCTGAGGCTGGGCCTCTGCCTGGCCGGCCACTCCTTCTGGAACAGGACAGCGTGGCCAGGGTCTCCCCAGCGGGGCTTTGCACGCCGGCAGGCAGGGCCGGTGCCAGGAACTGCAGGGGAACTGGGCCGCTCGGTGTCGGACTTGGGTGGGTCAGACCCCGAGACACAGAACTGGGTCCTGCCCCGTCCCTCACCTGGGGGGATGATCTCCCTGGTGGGATGTTGGGGGCCGCCGAGGGCAGGCAGGGGAGTGGGAGGAGTGACTGCCCCGCTCTGCCCAGGACAAGTGGATTACGATCGCCTGCGGCCCCTCTTCTACCCTGACGCCAGCGTTCTGCTCCTCTGCTTCGACGTAACCAGCCCGTACAGCTTCGACAACATCCCTAACCGGGTAGGTACAGGACTAGGCGGCAGAGCCCGAAGCCAGACTGCTCCCTGCGCCCCAGCCTTGACCCAGCCTGGAGCTCAGCAGGCCCTGGAGGGCACGGAGCCCCCGGGGTCGGTGGCAGGGTCTGGCCTCCGAAGCCCAAGCCCAGTGCTCCCTCCCTCCCTGCCTGCCTGCCCTGCCAGCTCCTGTCTGCCCCAGAAGCCCCCCGTATCTCCCCAGCCTGCATCTGCCCGTGGGCTGCACAGGAACCCCCAGACTCCAGCCACTCTTGGCATGGCCGCTGCCTAGCAGGATGTCCCCTGGGAATGTGAGGGGTCACCTAGCTTGTCCCTGGGTATTAGCGATGGGGCCCCTCCAGTGCCTCTTCGGGGGTCACCTCCAGCCACAGCACAGCCCCTCGCCTGCTGTGGCCAGGGCCTCCAGCCCTCAGCTGCCAGCTGACCACCATGACCATGTGGAGACGGTCACCAGGGCACCGTGGCACGATGCCGGCACGTGCCTCGGCCTTGCAGTGTGCCAGGGCTTAGCCCGAGCCCCTTTGAATAGGTACTGGTAGTGTGCCCAGATTGGGGGGCGGGGTGTGTGCACCAGGCTCATTCCAGGAACGAGGCCAACCCGGGACGGGAGCCCCCGAGTTCCCACCGAGCACCTCTCTGGGAGGGGGCTGGAGCCAGGTGCCCGCTGGTGGGGGGGCGGTGGCCCCGGGCTCTGGAGGGCAGCTGAGGGATTTGCAGAGGGAGTAGCTGGGCCGGGAGAGACTTGTGCTTGCCCTTTCCCAGCATGAGAAGGGGTGAGCTGGAGTCAGGGTGGGGTGAAGGGAGAGCTCTGAACCTCCAGGGAGGGGCAGGCCTGGGAGAGGGTCCCGGGAGAGGCCAGGCCAGGCTGGACAGCCTGTGTAGGGCAGGGCAGGGGAGCAGCTTGGGGATCCGAGGAGAACCTGGAGACTGGGACCCGGAGACCTGGTCGGGAAGGAGAGAGCGAGGCTTCAGCACTCAGGCGGGGTGCGGGCTGAGCGGTCACTGTTCGTTTCCCCAGGCGGGGACACAGAGGCCCCTTTCCCGGGGCAGGCCCTGACGGGGTGGAGGGTTGGGGCGTGTACCCAGGACCCCATCTGTCTCCAGAAGCCAGATGGTTTGCTGCCAACATTTTTCTGAAACTCGGCAGGCACGTGCTGCTGGAGATATAAAGCCCCCTCTGTGGGTTCCCGGCCCCCCGCCACCCCCGCCCCCATCCTGGCTGGAACCCCCAGGCCCCAGGGCCTCACACTGACACAGGGCCGGAGGCCCGCAGCTACTGCAGCCATTTCAGGAGCTGCTTGGCTTTGAAAAGATCACCTATTTCCTTCATACTTTACCCAGTTTGGGGTGATCACGGGGCCCCTGACCTTGGAGAGGGGCACGCTTCGGGAGCAGGTGGGAGCAGAGCTCGGGGCCCCCACCTTGCAGTTGTGTGCCCAAGGCAAAGTTCTAGAGCCTTCTCCCGGGTTACCGATGATGCTGGAACTTGCTTGAGGCACTTGGGGGGGGCACCGGCCGCTCCCTGTAAGTCTGCACCTGGTGGGTGTCTCCTACACTGGCCTTGCTGAGTGAGGGCCCGCGCCTGCCTGGACGGGCCAGTGCCCATCCTCCCATGGTGGAGAGGGATGCCCTCAGGCTGACGCGCGCTCGCCACCCTGCCCACAGTGGTACCCGGAGGTGAGTCACTTCTGCAAGAAGGTGCCCATCGTCCTTGTGGGCTGCAAGACTGACCTGCGCAGGGACAAAGTGCTGGTGAAGAAGCTGCGGAAAAATCGCTTGGAGCCAGTGACCTACCACAGGGTAGGGAGGCCGGTGGGGGAGGGCGCCCGGGGAGGGGCCCTCTGGCTCAGCAGTGCCGTCGCTGGCCCGCTCAGGGTGTGAGGGATGCTTGGAGGTACCGGGAACACACTGGAGATTCTGCCAGTGGGAGGCCGAGCTGGGCTTGGTGTGCACATTGGATAGTCCTGCCCACCCGCTCCACAGATGGGGAATCTGAGCACCCCAGCTTTCAGCCTGCAGGTCTGGGTCAGGCTGGGAAGCTCACCGGTTGACGACTGGCTTCTCTGGGAAGCACACGCCCGTGCGGGAACTGTGGGGCACTCTGCTGAAGCCATGAGCCAGCTCAGTTAGGCCCGGAAAAAACTGACTTTCCACTCCTGTCCTGGAGATGCCCTGGGGTTGTGGGAGGTGGGACCTGGGCCCACCCCCAGCACCCTGCAGCTCAACCGCTCGCTCCCCGTTAGGGCAAGGAGATGGCGAGATCCGTGGGCGCCGTGGCCTACCTCGAGTGCTCGGCTCTGCTCCGAGAGAACGTCCAGGCCGTCTTCCAGGAGGCGGCCAAGGTGGCCCTCAGCAGCCGCAGCCGCAATGTCTGGCGGCGGATTACCCGGACCTTTTGTGTGGCGACCTGACTGGCGACTTGGGGACCTCCCGACCCCACAGCACTGGAAGGAGCCAGCGCTGACCCTCTGCCCCGTGGGCTCTCTGGACTCCAAACTGCACTTCATAAAGGTGGCCTCCTTCGAGGTCGGACCCATCCCAAGTGGATTCCTGGACTGGAGTGGACCCCCTCTGAGCCTGGGTTTAGGGCCCCACCAGCCTTGGGACAGGCAGTGGGTCCAAACTCCCAGCCCTGTACGGCACATCCTGGCACTTCCACCCCCTGATGGCTGCTCCCGGGACTGCACCTTCTGGACCTGGTCTCCCCCGCCAGGCCAGCTCCTTCCTCCAGTAATTAACACCTGAAATGACATCCCTGGCCCCTTTGTCCTCTTGTTTTGAAATGCCTTTGCTCGGCCCTTCCATCACATGGACCAGCCCACCCCATCGAGGCATCAAGTGGAACAGCCTGAATCCGAACTCAGCTTTGTCTGGCTCGGACCTTAGGCTCCTGACTTCAGGGCGCCACATCCTCATCCATGAAAAAGGGTGTCAGGGAGCTAGGTGCAAAGGGCTTAGCAGGTGGCTGGCTCCCGGCCAGCGCTCACAAAAGCTCACGAGGATTTTACCTGCAAATACAATAGGTGATGCTGTGTTAGCCAATTAGTGCGGGTTCTGTAGAAAAACAGAACCAACTGGTGTGTGTGAGAGAGAGAGAGGAGGGAGAGAACTGTAAAGCTCACAGTCATCGGTAAACGGTGCCCGGCGCCCAAGCTGGCAAATCTCAAACCAGTCGGGCAGGCTGAGCTGATGTTGGAGTCTCAGCCCAAACCCGCCGGGCCACCGGCCAGCCAGTGATTCGGGCAGTTCTGGGCTGTGCACTTGAGTCCTGTCTTCCTCTGGAAACCTCAGTCTTTTCTCAAAGCCTTTAACGACCGGATGCAGCTAAACCACCTCAAACCACTTTCTCGGTTTCATCCAAACTGGTCGAGGGGCGGACCACTTCCGCCAGGTGAGGGCTGAGGGCTCAGGCTTTAGGGCTGAGCTGGGCAGGTGAAATGATGCTAGGGATCTGCTGAGAAAGCCCCGTCTGGATCGTGGGTCCATGCCAAGGGTTTAGTCTAAGCTTTCAGGAACGGGAAGCAAATTGTCCTGGCATGGATCTCTAGCCAGGGCTCCTCCCAAAGCACACCCCCTGTCCAGACGCGCCCCGTTGTCCCCCATCCCCACAAGCCGAGCCCAGAAAGTGTGTTCCCGGCCCCCGCAGCACCCCCGCAGCACGTACTTTGCCCGCCAGCCTTCACGCTAACTTCCTCCCTGCTCACCGAGCGAGGCCCTCGGCCGCCGTGAAGGCAGGGTCCGGCCTTGCCCAGCCCCTGGGGAAGGGGTGCCTGGCAGCATCAGGCTGTCCCATCTGGGTTCGCACACGGGGTGTAATTGTGGGAACTCCATCTCCCATCTGGCCAGCAGGGACTGGCCCGCCCAGCCAACAGGGGTGCCGTGAGGGTGCGGAAGTGCGGCCCAGCCCCGGGCCAGGCAGAGGGCGGCATGCACGAAACGCAGGGGTCACTGGAGCCGGCCGAGCTCTTGTGCGTGAGGACAAGATGCCGACCCAGACATCAGGCTCCCACGCACTGCTGGTGCTGAGATGACCAGGGACTCCATTCTCTATTCTCACAGCCTTGTGTCCAGGGGACTGATGCCTGACACGATGACAAGAGCCACAGCTCTGTCCCCAAAACTGGCCTGTTTGTAAGATAAGGTCAGAGGACAGGCTGACCCAGAATGAGGCATGGGAGGAGCCACCCTGAGCGGGATGGGGAGCAGGTGGTGAGTCCCTTCTTGTGGCTCGACAGCCTGTGGGGATGCCTTGTGCCACCTGCACAGGCTGGCGAGGCCAGAGAGGGGGCCGAGGACACAGGGTGTATTAGCAAGAAGAGGAAGAGTGATGGGCCTGGGCCGGGCGGTCTCGGGTCTTCCCACCTGATCAGTGGGAGGAATCGGTTCCACCTGTTGCTTATCTCTGGGTGGTGTCGGGAAAATTACAAATCCGTAATTAGGTGGAGAAATTAGTGGGTGTTGTGGTTAAAGCCACGTACCTGGGGGTCCAACACGGTGTCCATGCAGCTCTGAAGGGACTTCTGAGCAAGATCGACGTTGACGTCAGTGGGGAGTCAATAGTGGGGAGTCTTCCACGAAGAGGGCTCCATCGCCAGAGGTAGGACCTCATCCAGGACACAAGCTGGGGGTCGAGGT